ACGTGTATAGTTTTAACCATCTTTGTTTCTGATGCTCGATAGGATTAATGACTAACACAATCTACGTAATTGGTAAAATGGCATTACTAAAAAGGGAGTACTAAAATGGCCATCTAAGCAGAGTAACAGAACTATTAAGAAATCTGTTTCTAAGCCATAATCAGCTCTTGAATAATCAGATTAATTAGAACCAGCATCAGAATAAGTAACCATAATGCAGATAACTACTAAACACTTCTCATTTCAGAGAATTGAACAAATAAACCGAAAAAGGATGCTAGGATATAAATCTCGATGTGAATACAACAGTAAAATTGATTTTCATAGACTTTTAGATGCGTTTGTTCTAGACGAATCTATTCTAAAACTCCAGAATCATTTCTCTCCAAAATATAAAAAACATACAAGGGTGAGTAAAACATGTAATAAAACATAAAAACAAGAGCACTATACCTATATTAGAGTACTATGGCAGTATTAAACCAAACTATACTCCAATTTTGCAATTCCGCTTTATTTTTACTCCTGTTTAGCCTGAAAAACAAAATTAATGCTCAGGGAATTACCTTGGTGCCGCCGTCAATAACGATGGGATGATCGCAGAGATGAAAGTAGAGATCCTTCTTTGAAGACAGCTTGAGCAAATCGGCGCTATTGAAAGCCGTGGAAAGAATCTCGCGGCAATCGGAAGGCAAGAATCGGTCCCAGACGGCGTCGAATTGCGCTGCGGAGTGAAAGCTAGGCGCAACCAGCGACAAACGGCAAGCGTCCTTAGGGCTGGTCAGCGACAGCACGTTGGCTATGCATTCATCCGGCAGCGCGTTGATATCTGCTCCGGAAAAGCTCTCCACCGCCATTGGTATAAGACTGAACTGGATATATAATTCCTTCTTCTTTGATCTATGAGTAACTGCGGAATTTATACGTAGTAGGAGATTAGGAGAATCGCCGAGCAAGTCGGTCAATATCCTTGTTTCCAATACTCGGAAGTCGTAACTTAATCAAGCTGATTTCCTCAACCCCGACACGTGGAATTTCCCGCCTACACTGTAAGCGCGCCACGCTCAATTAAGCTAAGAAAAAAGAGATAATTCCTGGGAGTTAAACATGACTAAAGTGCAAAAGTAGGAGTCCTATCTGACTTATAGTTTGACACACGAAAATAAATAGTAACAGACCAAAATACCCTTAATGAAAAGAAAACAAAATAACAAATTAAAGTTTAAGTTTAGATCGATAACAAAGGCAGATTAGAGGACCACACATGACATATGCCTCGTACAAGACTGCCACAATCTCCAACACTACCATCATCATCTCCGATGCCATTAGCTCCGCCACCGTCTCCGCTGCCGCTGCCGCTACCATCTCCGGCGCCACTGCTGCCACCATCTCCGGTGCCACTAGCGCCGCCGCCATCTCAGGCGCCGCTTCCTGGAAAAATCATCAGAACAAGAGATTTGATTAGATTATATTGTGAACTGTTATCAAATTATTTTCATGTGTGCAATTCGTCTTTGACTTTTATTTATCAAGATGATGAAGCCTCTCACTTTGGACATAGCCGCAATTCATCTTTAATTTTTATTTTACTTCACGATTCCAATCTTTTTTTTGTTTAATTTTGAACTTTATTAGTTTATTTAGGATTAATATCATTTATATGACATTACAAATGATTTGAACATTGATTTCAAACTAATATCATTTATATGACATTACATTTGGCAAGATGGCAATTTTTTACCCCGACATGGCAATATTGTTCATCTTTCGTATTTTTATAATTATAAAATGGCAAATATTGCTTATAAGGATAGTGAGATGGCATTATTCATGTTACCTTGACATGACAATATTGTTCATCTTTTGTATTTTTATAAGGCTAAAAAGATGACATTGCAATTTGTTCTACTCTTCTTTCCAAATCAGAGATCTAAACTTAGATCTGGAGTGGTTGCTCCATAGAAGGTTGCATTATGTAATTTTCGGATATAAAACTAATCATTAATAAACTAATACATTTAAAAACTAAATAAAAGTTATTGGAATAAAATAAAATAAAATAAAATAAAATAAAATAAATAGAGAAGATGGCGGAAGAAGGAGGTGAATGAGAAGAAGGGGAAGGAGAAGGAGAAGAAGAGAAGAAGAAGGAGATCGAAGAAGGAGAAATTGATACTTACCTATGTTCGTAAATTCCGCCGCCCTCCTTCGTGCCGCCGCCCTCCGCCGCCGTCCTTGTCCTTCAGAGAGTCTGGAAAATTAAAAACTTAACAGATGAAATGGATGAAGAAGAGAGATCCATGTTAATGTAAGGCTGGAGAAATAAAAAGAAACAACGTGAGGCTACAGGGATAGAGTTAGGCGAGAGGATAAGGATAAGGTAGTGGAAAGAAGAAAGTTGTCATTCAAGATAATGTAGAGAAGGGTATAATTGTAAACATGAATAAAAAGTAACGGCTCAACAACTCACTTAACTCCTATTTAGGGAATATATCACTTAGGACTCCTATTTTGGAATTTGTCTATTGTTTTAGTCCTATATAAGTCAATTTCTTAAGAAAAAACTCAAACCCCCCCCATTAACTTGAAGTGGATCATATTATGATGAAAGAGTATAAATTATTGCAATGGAAAAATAATGAAATAATGCGATGAACTAAAGGATAGTTCAAAATGTTAATTGTAATAGTGTGTTATTTTCAAAATCATTGAAAGTATGACGAAAAATTTTAGAAATAAGAAAATTATTTAGTTATAGTTGATAAAGATAAGTGCAAAGATTTTTTCATTATGGAGTGAGTAATAAATAATCTCCTATTTCTATTTTTGTTAAATAATTTGTGCACCGCTATGTTTCTTACACAATCCTCTTGTTTCTACACATTTTTTCACCACACGATTTCCATTTTATTAATCCACATGCAAAACCATATGATAGAGTATATGGGCTCGTGCTCACGGCTCACGTACTCTAAGATACACAATCAAGCCCAAAATCACATAAACCACAACTCTCAACTGGGCCCCAAACAAATGAGGGCACACATGAACAAAGCAACCAAGACCAGACAAGGCTACATAAAATACTTGGCCAACACCAGGGGAGGTCCTATCCATATCTGGGCCAATGAGAGATACATTATCTTTGAGAAAGGTGATTCTAAATGCAGCCACACAATTGTTATCCATGACCTATAATTAATTTAATGTCAATTATATCCTTATAATGTACTCATTTATCTTAACCGTGTCTTCATCTTTGCTTTGCTTTCCTTTCATTGCCATATCCGCTCTCAATTATACGAAGCTGTTCCGTTCACCTGATCTGAATGTTTCTGATCTGAATTTTTTAAGTTCTGATCTGATCTGATCTGAATTTTTCTGATCTGATCTGATCTGATTTGAATTTTTCTGATCTGATCTGATCTGATCTGAATCTTTCTGATCTGATCTGAATCTTTCTGATCTGATCTGAACGTTGCTGAACTGATCTGAATGTTGCTGATCTGATCTGATCTGATCTGAATGTTTCTGATCTGATCTGAATGTTTCTGATCTGATCTGAATTCTTCTGATCTGAATCTTTCTGATCTGATTTGAATATTTCTATAATTGTAATTATAATTATAATTATTAGATTTATAATTGTAATTAAAAATATAACTTAAATAAAATTACAATTATAATCATAATTATAAAAAAATAATAATTAAAATTAAATTTAAAATTATAATAATTATACCAATTACACTAATTATAAATACAGATACAATTATAAATGTAATAATTTTTTAATTATGATTAATTTTATAATTATTTTTTTGTAATTATAATTATAATATTTATCTCTATAATCATAATTATATCTATAATTACTAATTTAAATATATAATTACTCCGAAGTAATAATAATTACAAAAATAACAACAAGAACAACAATCATATTAATAATAATGATGATTATAATTATAATTACATTGTAAATCATAATTATAATTATAATTATAATTATAATTATAATTATAATTATAATTATAATTATAATTATAATTATAATTATAATTATATTATATTATATTGTATTATATTGTATTATATTATATTATATTGTATTATATTGTATTATATTATATTATATTATATTATATTATATTATATTATATTATATTATATTATATTATATTATATTATATTATATTATATTATATTATATTATATTATATTATATTATATTATATTATATTATATTATATTATATTATATTATATTATATTATATTATATTATATTATATTATATTATATTATATTATATTATATTATATTATATTATATTATATTATATTATATTATATTATATTATATTATATTATATTATATTATATTATATTATATTATATTATATTATATTATATTATATTATATTATATTATATTATATTATATTATATTATATTATATTATATTATATTATATTATATTATATTATATTATATTATATTATACTCCCTCCGTCCCTAAAAGAACTTCCAACTTTCCCTTTTCGTCCGTCCCAAAAAGAACTTCACTTTCCCTTTTTGGCAAAGAATTTGTGGTTCACAGCATTTCTCTCTCCTCTGCACAACTCTCCACCACACAATTTCCACTTTCTTAATCTGTGTGCCACTTTATTTTGGAAGAACATTTAGGGACGGAGGTAGTATTATATTATATTATATTATATTATATTATTATAATATAATAATAATTTTATATTATTAACATTATTATTATAATATTATTAATAATATTACTATATTAATATATTAATATTATTAACAATAACTATAATATAATAATCATAATTAATATAATAATAAAAGTGATAAATCATGTTTGAATTTTTTGATCTGATCTGATCTGATCTGAATGTTTCTGATCTGATCTGAATGTTTCTGATCTGGTCTGATCTGGTCTGAATCTTTCTGATCTGATCTGAATGTTGCTGATCTGATCTGAATCTTTCTGATCTGATCTGAATGTTTCTGATCTGATCTGATCTGATCTGAATCTTTCTGATCTGATCTGATCTGATCTGAATCTTTCTGATCTGATCTGATCTGATCTGAATAAAATAAGATTAAGGAATAAGTAATAAGATTAAGACGAACGGAACAGCTTCGTAGTTGTAAGAGATCTCTTATGGAAAAGGGAGAACAACAAGTTTGAAAAGGAAGAGTCTTCAAAAAAGAAAAGTTAGAGAAATAAAAGGGAGAATTTGAGTTTGCACCCCATGTTTTGGGTGATATTTGACTTTGCACCCTATTTTCAAAATCATTAATGTATGCACCCTAATTCACTATAAAATCATTTCACTTTGCACCCTACTCCTTCACAATTTTTGGGCTAATGGGGTGCATACATTAATGATTTTAAAAATGGGGTGAAAAGTCAAATATCACCCAAAACATGGGGTGCAAACTCAAATTTTCCCGAAATAAAAATATAGCTAATAGAGGCATAGAACGCTGAGCGAAGAATAAAAGTTCCTGCTGACCCAACGCCCACTCTCTGCCCGCCAGTTCACGGTCTCCCTCCGCCTGCGTCTGCCCGCCTTCATGGCTGCGTCACTGCCAGTAGGCGATCTCAGGCTCTCTAGTCTGTCAGTCGTACTTCCGTAGTAGAGAAGAAATAAAGAGGAGAAAACCAGAAGGGGCATCACATTCTCTGCCTCTGGTGGATGCTGAAAGTGTGGTCCTCAATTTAATTAAAAGTAAGAAAACTCTCGAGAATTGGTTGGCTGTCGTGAAGAAAGAATCAAAGCTTCCATCGACCGTGGTTGTCAGATCCCTGTTCGTTGGTGGCGGACCTAGTGGTAAAGTTCCTCAGATTGCAAAGCTCTTGTGGCGGAGGTGGTTGATGTTTCTGTTTATTGTGATTCTGGCGGCCATCCGCCGGCCCTGTTGTGCCACTGGCGGAAGCACTCCCACCGTCCTCTCTGGTTCTTGACGGCCGCTGCTGCTTATCCTTCCGACGAGATTCCCTGGAAGCTCTGGTCCGGAGGACACACCCCATAATGAATGAGAGCTCAAAACTTAAATCGATGAAGAACCTCATAAAACCGGTCAAGAACATAGAGAACAAATCTTGAAAGACCTTTATAGCCGCTGGGTTTGAACCTGCAACAGAACTCACTGGCGGTCCGTGGTACATTGATGGCCATCTCGACAAAGAACTCGTTAGTGGACTCAATTACATATGTGAAAAGGTCATACAGAAATTTCAAGTCGCTACGGCTGAAGAAGAAAGCACTTCAGGGAGGGAAATTTGTAAAATTAATGAGTTTGTTCGAAAAGAGTTTTAAAAAGAGACTATATTTAGTAAAAAATGGGTTGTATTTAGAATTTATCATCTTTGAGTTATAGGGATGTTTGGATCTGATTCTTTAAACTGCTTCTGCTTCTTCAGAAAGCAAAAGTAGAAGTTGAAGTGTTTGTGTGAAAGTGCAGAAGTGTTTCTGATTCTCTAATTTACTCCTAGAATCAGATTTTAAGAAGCTGGGGGGACCAGCTTCTGAAAACTTATTCTGCTTCTGCTTTAAAAAAGGAAGCAGGAGCAAAATCAGTTCCAAACACCCCTTATATCCAAGACAAATCATAATTCACGTTATTTAAAAATTACGGAGTATAATGAAACTATCTAATAAAGGTCGTAAAATAAAGGTCAAAATCAGTTTATTATTACTCCGTACTATACTTAAATTACATATTTGAGCAAAAATAACATCACAAACGTCGCATAAAAAGGAAAAAAAACATTACTTAAGAACATTTCTCACAGAACTATGTGAAGCAAAACATCAATAATCACTTCATTGTCAACCTTATTCAATTATAAACATTATAAATAATAGAGACATAAAGTTGCAAAATAGCATACAAACATTAATATAACAATATATTTGGATGTTTTCTTTATGAAAAAGTTGATACATGTATCTCAATTTTTAAAAAAATTACCCAAAAAAGTTAGAAAACTTTACGGAGTATAAAATGCAGATATGACTCGGTACGATACGTACAGATATTTGTACCGCCGATACGAGTATTTAATACAATGATGTTTCCGACACGTCAATGCGATACCTTAGTCAAGTATGTGTGGTACATGTGAACAGGCCAAAGGAATCAAACTATTAAAAACTTACCCTCAAAAAAGGGGAATTTGACTTTGCACCCCACTTTTTGGGTGTTATTGGACTTTGTACACCATTTTCAATAATCTTTAACTTTGCACCCCATTTCACTTAAGAACCTTTGACTTTGCACCCCAGTCAGAAATTTTTCTTCACAAAATGTTACTTCCCCGTCCCTTATGACTTTACCAACTTTCCTTTTTTGGTTGTCCCAAAAACTTTGTCACTTTCCCTTTTAATCAATCAATTTGTGACTCATGTTATTTCCCTCTCCTCTGCACAAATATCTACAACAGAGTTTTTACTTTATTATTCTACGTGTCGATCAAACTTGACAAACCTTTAAGGGACGGAGGGAGTATGCGATATGGTGCAAAGTCTACGTTTTTTCAAAATGGGTTGTAAAGTGAAATATCACTCAAAAAACAAAGTGCAGGGTCAAATGAGAAATGCTAGAGGTACCCCCCAAAATGGGGTACCCATTCTTACTCCGACTTAATATGTGGTCACAAATGGGACAACACATCGAGAATGATGCCACCACAATAAAGTATGTGACTCCATAAGAGAGTGTGGTATGACTCTATAAAACTATTCGAGGTAAGAATGGGTAGGGGAGAGCAAACCCGACCCTACCCGATTGACTTGACCGGATACATCCGAATTTTTTGTTTGGGTCGGAAAACCCGACCCGAAATATCCAAACCCGATCTCATTCTTGCAACCCGAGACTTAAGCGGGTAACGGGTAGGGTTACCAATTATGCCACCCGACCCGCCCGACCACCCGAAATACTCATGGCATATATACTCATTATATACCTAATTGTATTGTTCAGTGTTAACTGTTAAGCTCGTATATACCAATTATCATTTGTATATACCAATTATCATTTTATTTATCACAATATCAAATATGTCAATCACCGTATATTATTATTTTACATGTTTAAATATGTCGATTACCGTATTTATGCAACTATTACTTTGAATGTTATACTAGTATAACTTTGAATGATATTTTTATCAATTACCATTTTATTTATCACAATTTCAACAATAATAAATTAAAATCCGAATGGATCCGTAAACTGAATCAACCCGACCGAAACCCAAACTTCTTCAACCCGAAAAACCCGATAATTTTTTTGATAGGGTAGATTTTGAAATTGTCAATCCAATAACCGAACGGGTTTCACTTTTTGAACCCGACCCGTGCTCTGCCCTAATAATGGGGTACCTATTTTGGGTACCTTCATTTCTCAAAGTCCAATTCCTCGAAAAAGAAGCTGTGTTATCCAATCGTAGGAATCCAAGTGCACAAGGTAGTATTATCTGAGAAATATCTACCCTTCGCCCCTGCCTCCTCCATTTTCTTCCTGCTAAACCCATACTCCATACTGTCCTAGCTTCTCCAAATCTGCAATGCTCTGCTTTACCCTCTTTGCTCTGCTCAGCTAATATTACTCTCAGGTTTGCTTATCTTCAACTCATCACTTCAATACCTTATACCGTAACGCACCTTCTTCTACATTACTTTAAACTTGGCTTGGTAAAACATCTTCCTTCAATTTTCTCGCACTTTTTATTTTCTTTACTTAATTCGGAGTTTATTTCTACAATAAACGGGAAGTCTTTTTAATTGATGAATTAAACAGCATAAATATTGTATTTGAACTCAAATTGTCAAGAAAGCCGCACTTTTGCTTGGTAAATTACAAGATTTAACCTCTGTATATACACCAGCTGTTCCCAAGTTTCAAAATTCGGGCTTGACAATAGAACCCAGCTCTTCACTACATGCCTTAAGGAAAGGTTTAGTTGGGGAATTTCGGAGGAGAGGGCATGATTGATTTTTTATGTTTTTCTAATTGATCTATATTTGTTAATCTTAGATGAGAAACAAAGAATATATATTTAATTAAATCATGTATTTCTCTATAGTTTTTCAGATTAAGGGCATCCCCATCCATAAAATTGTCAAGGGATGAAGTTGGTGATATGACATTTTCTTTTGGGGGAGCAAGGTTAGTGATGGAGATATTTTGGTGAGATTAATTTCCTCCGGATGAGACTGGTGAGTGAAAGACCCAAAATGAAATAAGTTATTTGTAGATGATGTTCGAAAGTTATTTAGAGATCATGAGATTATTCAAAATAAAATATGTTGCAATAATTTGGAAGTGGAAACACGAATAATCCGACTATTTGGAGAGCATGGATGTGGATGGTCCTATATTCTTTAAAACATTCTATTCAAGATTTTTAAAAATTAAAATTTAAATCAAAATATATCATATATGAGAGGTTCTTTATTGATTTTGGGATCTTAAGATAATCTCATATAGTTTCAACTACATTTTTCCATTTTGGTATCTTAAGATAATCTCATACTCCGTATAGTTTACTGGTGGCAATTCATTTTTGTTGCTGTACCAGTCACCAGGTTGAAGAATGGCATTCACTTTACATTCACATTTTCTTGAAAACCAAACAATTCATTCAAATTATGGGTTACATCTTCTGAGTTGTAAAAAGGGAAGCTGGACTGTCTCAGAGAGTGTAGCCATAGTGCAGTTCTTGCCAAATAGATGGAGAGAGAGACACAGGAAGCTGCTTAAAGCTCATAGGATGTGCAGCGTGTTGGGTTCTACACGCACCGGCTTTCCTTTACATAGAAAAGAGAGTAGCTCTTTGACAAATAATAAGGTAATATTTGTTTCACAATTCCATAGTGTTCATTGTGATGCACTTTTGCATGACTTTCTAGTGTTAACTAATTTAGACAATTAGTAGCAGTTAGCACTACAAATTTTATGTCTCCAAGCCATCAGGGGAAATGCTAGGTAATGGGAAGAAATGCTAAAGAAAACTATTCTCTTGTTTGAATTTAAAAAATGCGGAGCAAGAAGAAGTATGATAATGGTTTTAATTTATTTATCATATGTTTGGATTTCGTCAAGAAATAAAACTAGTTAGAGCGAATCCTAAAAAAGAGCTTTGAGCCGGTGTTTTATTTTCACCATATTTTCTTTCCTTCAATATTTTCCTTTCTTATTATCTTTTGGTGATGTGACGTTTTCTTAATCTCACTTTAGTGATTAGAATTTTTTTGATGAAATTATTTTCCTCTAGATGAGAGTCATGAGACTGCTGAGTACAAGACCCTTAGAAGATCATATTATTTGGAGATGATAGTTGAATTATATCTAGAGAACTTTGAGATTATTCAAAATAAAATATGCTTCCAATAATTTGGAGGTGGGAAGTGGGAACACAAAAATTCGATTATTTTAAGAGCATGGGTGTGGATGCTCTTTTATTCTTTAAATTGATGATGATGTTGTTGTTCTTGTTTTCATAAAGACTGTTGGTAGATCTGGTTCTCTCTTTGGTCATGTTCTCTTTGTCTTAGATGTTGATGATTGTAAGTTGCTTTAGGAGATAACCAAATACTGGGAGGCACTGTCCTTGATCATCGGTAGGAAGTGGACCCACTTTGCCCAAACTGCAATAATAGCTGCATTTGTTTTTATGGTAATTCCAGAGGCTGATGCAGTGGATGCTCTTAAAACTTGTACTTGCTTGTTGAAAGAGTGCAGGTATCATATGAAATCTACTTGCCTGATATTTAAAACAAAAGTATGCCATTCTTTTATGCCTTAAACATCAAATCAGAGGAGTTAGTACTGTTAAGGTTGGTAATTTTATTTGTCTGTGATCTTTAGGATAGTTTTGTTCTAGTGGTACTGAAAGAGTTGAACTTTTGTAGTGTTAGCATGAGAAATTGAGATGAAATATTTCCATTAGTTTTTATCTTTAAACTAATATTCCTTACTGTTGATCAAGCTATTCATAATTATTTTATACTACCTACCAGTTAAAATGACCAAAACCAGCGTCAGTATAACAAATAACTACTGTATAGGAAAACAGAAAACATTTCTCATGTTTTTAAATTCTACAGATGTAGTGTTCACATTATACACACATGCAATCTATATTTCCTTTTTGTTTTTTGTTTTTTCTGTACATGAAGGTTATGATTGGTCTCAAGAGAAGAAAGAAAAACTAAGATAGAAAAAAGAAACTAGTGAGAAAGAGGGCAGTTTTGTGCGCTGTGTGGTAGGACAGAAACAAGAGAGAAAAAGATGGGAAGAAAGTGTGCATTAGTTTTAAAATGAAAAAATTACCCTTCAATAAAAGAAATCTAAAATAAATTTTCTGTTCCCTCAATTCTCTATCCTCCTTTTT